ACATGACCAAGCTAATTATAAAATGTATTTAGAAGGAAAAAAAGTCAAAATCAGCAAACATGCCCCGAAGCAATCTGGTCATATCAGATAGCAGTGCTATAAAAGCTATAGTAATTAAGATAGGAATGTCAGACTGAAGGAACAGCACATAGACCAGAAATACAAGGGAATCTAATGTTTGAGTCTGCAGTTGCAATCTAGAGAGGAAATGATGGGCTGAATTGGTATTCTTGACTATAATCTTTCCTTTCAAACCTTTTCCACATTGCCATCAGAATGAGTTTTTTTTTTTGTATCAGGGATTGACCCCAGAGGCACCTTGATCACTGAGTCACATCCCCAGCCCTTTCTATTTGTTGAGACAGGGTCTCACTAAGTTGCTTAGGGCCTCCTTGCCAAAATACTGAGGCTATCTTTGAACTCTTCATCCTCCTCTTCAGCCTCCCCAACCACTGGGATTACAGCCTGCTCCACTACTGTGCCAGACTAGAATAAGCTTGTTTGTTTGTTTATTTATTTTTTAGTTGTAGATAGACACAATACCTTTTATTTTTATTTTTTTTTTTATGTGATGCTGAGGATGGAACATAGTGCTTGGTAGGCAAGTGCTCTATAATTGAGTTAAAACCATAGCCCCTAGAAAAAGCTTTTTTTTTTTTTTTTTTTTTGGTACTAGGGTTACTTAACCACTGAGCCACATCCCCAGCCCTTTCTTGTATTTTATTTAAAGACAGGGTCCCATTGAGTTGCTTAGAGCCTCGCTAAATTTCTGAGGCCAGTTTTGAAATCAAAATCATCCTTGCCTCAGCCTCCCCAGCCGCTGGGATTACAGGTGTGCACTACTGTGCCCAGCTAGAATAAGTTTTTTTTTCTTTTAATATTTTTAAATTGTAGATGACACAATATCTTTATTTATTTTTATGTGGTGCTGAGGATCGAACCCAGTATCTCACATGTGCAAAGCAAACTCTACCACTGAGCTACAGCCCCAGCCTTAGAATAAGCTTTTTAAAACAGAGAATTGATTATATCAATTCCGCATTATTGGATGTGCATATTAGCGGGCATTTTGGTGGTTACATAAATTTGAGAAATGCTGGATTAAACAAAATTAATTTTTTTTTTTTTTGTACCAGGAATTGAACTCAGGGGCACTTAACCACTGAGCCACATCCCCAATCCTTTTCATATTTTACTTTGAGATAGGATCTTACTACGTTTCTCAGGGCCTTGCCAAGTTGCTGAGGCTGGCTTTGAACCTGTGGTCTTCCTGCATGAGTCGCCCAAGCCGCTGGGATTACAGATATGTGCCACTGTGCCCAATTAGATCTTTTTTTATTTTAATAGTAAGACTTCTCAATGATGTTTATATTCTCATAAGGACTGCAAACTTCTAAATGGGGGATAGCATATCTGGCTAAGTTCCCTAAAATTGTCAGGCCAAAGTATTTTTTTTTTTAAATAGCAGAAATTCTCAGCACCACATCAAAATAAATAAACAAAATAAAGCTTAAAAAATGTACACTGGGAATCAATACAGATATTTTATAACTGACATGGCACGCAAAGCAATACAAGAGGCAGATTGGGTATAATGGTTTAGAACAAAAAAAAAAAAAAAAGCTACAGAGACCTAGGTCTCTGCTGTAGCTACTCTGGTTGTTACTTAAACTCTTTGTGATTTAGTTGCTACAATTGTAAAATGGGAATAATAGTATTATCTTCTTCACAGGGTTACTGACAGGATTAAAAGAGGCATTAGTAACAAAAAAATTATCTTTTCCCCTGCTTCTCCCTTCTCCCTAACCTGGGGCTCTAGTTAGAATGAATTATTTATACAAGTTCAGGACTTACTGATGTCTTTACTACTGTCTAGAATGACTTACTCTGCGTCATAGGTAGCCTAATATTATTTTTAAAGACTAGCTCAAAAGAAAACCTATTTGGAGAAACTTTCCTTAATCTAGTCTCCTCAAAGAGAATTAATGGATTTTTATATTTTGTACCCATAGTACTTTCTCCATTACATCATCATAGCTTTCATTATACTGTGTCATAAATTATCAGTGTCCTGTTTTGTACATCAGAATGTTAAGTCAGAAGTGTGAAAAATGTTCCATACATATTTTTGAATGAGTTGTGATTTAAAATATAATTTTAAAAATCCAAGTTAGAACAATTTAAAACGATAATTTAGATTCCAGAGGAAATAATGAAAGACAACAACAAAAATGCTGACTGCTGGGGCTGGGTTGTAGCTCAGTGTGCGCACCAATGCGCCCAACTAAATCCAAGATAGAACAATTTAAAATGATAATTTAGATTCAGAGGAAATAATGAAAGACACACCTAGTACATGTGAGGCACTGGGTTTGATCCTCAGCACTACATAAAAAATAAAAAATAAAGGCATCGTATCCATCTATAAATTAAAAAAATAAAAAAATAAAAATAAAAAATAAATTTAAAAAATGCTGGCTTCTAAGTATATGCTCACATTTTTTTTCTCTTTTATGGCTTGAAGCCAGGACTTTGCATAGGCTAGGAAAGTGTTCTACCCTGAGCTACATTCTCAGCCCTTTGTATTTTTTTATTTTGAGGCAGAGTCTCTCTAAGTTGTCCAGATTGGGCTGGAATTTGAGATCCTCCTGCCTCAGTGTCCCAAATAGCTGGGATTACAATTTTTATTAGGGGGTGGGGGAAACCTGGGAGGTTGGAATTAGAGAAAGGCAAATCAAAACTACTCTAAGAGTTCATCTCACTCTAGCCAGAATGGCACATAATCAAGAATACAAACAATAAGTATTGGCGAGGATGAGGGAAAAAAGATACACTCATTCATTGCTGGTGGGACTGCAAATTGGTACAACCACTTTGGAAAGAAGTATGGAGATTCCTCAGAAAACTTGGAATGGAACCACCATTTGACCCAGCTACTCAACTCCTCAGTTTATATCTAAAGGACTTCAAATCAGCATATACAGTGACACAGCCACATCAATGTTTATAGCAGCTCAATTCACAATAGCTAAACTGTGGAACCAACCTACATGCCCTTCAACAGATGAATGGATAAATAAAATGTGATATAAATACACAGTGGAATATTACTCAGCCTTAAAGAAGAATGAAATTACAGCATTTGCTGGTAAATGGATGGAACTAGAGAATATAATGCTAAGTGAAATAAGCCAATCCCCTAAAACCAAAAGCTGAATCTTTTCTCCTATAAGCAGATGCTGATCCACAGTAAGCCGGGAGGGGGGCGGATAGGGAAGAATGAATGAACTTTGGATTGTGCAGAGGGGAGTAATGGGAGGGATGGGGAAGTGGGGATGGGAAAGATGGTAAAATGAGATGGACATTATTACCCTATATACATGTATGATTACACTCCTGGTGGGATTCAGCACCACTTATAGCCAGAGGAATGAGAAGTTATGCTCCATTTGTGTACTATGTGTCAAAATGCATTCTACTGCCATATATAACTAATTAGAACAAACAACAACGACAACAACAAAAAGCCTGGGAGGCTGGGGGTTCAGCTCAATGGTAGAGTGTTTGCCCAACATGTTTGAGGCTCTGGGTTTGAACCCCAGCAGCAAAACAAAAACAAAAACAAAAGATAGAAAATGAGGCAGGAAAAATTTGGGTTTCTGATACTAAATTTTTATGAGCCTTTTTATAAAAATAAGAACTTTATTAAAGATCACACTGCATCTACAATATTTTGCAAATAAAATCCAGGCTTCTCTTGAAGATCTTGAAACAAAAACTTGCCTATATTTGACTCCCATAGTTGTAGTATGAAGTATAAATAAGATTAAAAGCAAGGAAAAAATCAGGCTGTTACTTGCAACTATTTGCAAATAATATCTTTAACATTAAGAGAGAAAAAAGTGCTTAGATCCAAATTCTCAACAAATAATAAAGATAATTTAATCTTATTGATAATAAACGATTAATTTCGGGGAAAAAAAGTAAGAGAGATACTCTTCATTACTACCACTCAGAATGTAAAACTGGTATGCCTTAGGGAATTCAAATTATATGCAAAGCCTTAAAACAGTCAATTTTAGACATTGAGCTCCATGAGACAGATAGAATAGGCCTACCATAAATGTTTAACATATGCTAGGTAAGTGAAAAAGAAATGTTAAGTGAAAAGAATACAATTGTATTAAATGTGATTTCTGTGAAATTTGTATAGAAAGGATTGAAATAACAAAACCAAATAGGAAAAGAGGTTATGAGCAACTAAAAACAACTGATTTATTGAGATATAATTTGACATACTATAAAATCCACATATTGTATACAGCTCGATTACTTCATTTACACAGCTGTGCAATTAAGGCCATGATTTAGCACCACGGTCACTTTTTTTTTTTTTTCTCATTTGATGTTTTCTGTATCAGAATACTAGCCCTATTCGTTGAATGGCTCTTTCACGGAAAGTTGGGTAGAGATGAACTCTAAAATTATCTACAAAATTACTATTTATCTTGAGTCCCTCCTCCAGTTTGACACACGCAACTTTATACGGATCCAGCATGCAAGAAGGTCCTTTGCTATTATTAGAAGCGAAATTTTAAGGACTGAACTGGCACCATACAGAATAAATTGTTTTTGCTGTACTACATAGTAATATCACTATTCTTGACCATTCTGCAAATGAAAGGTTCCAAAATAACTAATACAGTCGCAGTTCCCAAAGAAAATGCTGGCACTGAGTGGAACCAATGGTGAGAAACTCCTTTTCCTCTCCTCAATCCTGCCAGCGGAGAGTGGAGTATGCAAGCTGCAGACATCCCCCCAAACTCACCTGGGAGGCCAGCTGCTCCCTGTCAGCCTGGAAGGAGTTCAAAGGAAAGACCTTTGTTGTATTCATTTAGCTCCCTACAATTGAAAACCCTTCGGGAAGGAGTATATTGAGGTTGACTAGTACCCAAATCCCTCACAGCCCAGGCTCCCAGCGATCACTTAAGGCCTCCTACCTGCAGAGAAGCAGAGCAGGGACATCCGGTGCTTCAGGCGTGCCAAACCCAGCACTGTGGGAGCAAAGAACATGGCTTCATCATCGGGGTGCGCGATCACGAGAAGGGTTCGGCTTCCGGATTTCAACAGGCCTGCTTGCTCCGCAGTCTTCATTCGTTCTGCAGAGTCGCAAAAGCAGAGAAAACCCCAAGTTATAACCGCCGCCAACACACAGCCGAGACACAACGCTTCCATGCTGGGTAAGTGGCACTGCGCCTGTGCAATTGGGAAGGCTGCAGTTGACCCTGACTCCGGCAGGAAAACCGCACCCACTGAAATTCCGTTCCGCGTTCAGCGTTTGAGTGCATCTTTGCTTGCGACTTAAAAGTAGGATTTGTCTTCTGACACTGAAGCTTCTCAGCATACTGTGCTCTCTCCATCTTTATTTTTCTTTCAGAGCCGAGGACCAAACTCAGGGCTAGCGCACTGCCGCTGAACTAAATCCCCAACCTTCTCTCCATCTTTTGTACACGAAGTCTTATGCCTGCTAGGTTTCAGAGCTGACCCGAACCCGATGCCGTCCAATTTAATACCTTTGTCCTGCCTCACAATATAATGTGTTTAAGGAAAAGCATTTGAAAATAAACTTCCACATCTTGTGGGTTTTTTTGGGGGGTGGGTGGGTGGGTGGAAGGAACCCAGGATTGAACCCTGAGGCACTTTACAAGTTACTGAGTTACATTGCCAGGCTTTAAATTTTTTTATATTCAAACAGGGTCTTGCTAAATTGTTGAGGCCGGTCTTGGACTTACGATCCTCCTGCCTCATCCTCCCAAATCGCTGGAATTACTGGCATGTGTCACCATAACAGAAAATTCCCACGTTTTGCAAGCAGACTTCTCGCCTCTTTTTAATTCATCATTTTCTAACCCATTTCTTTTTCGGGGAGGGGATATGGGAGGAGGATAGTATGGGTGGAGCCCAGAGGAACTTTACCACTGAACTACATCCCTAGCCCTTCAGATTTTTGTTGTTGTTGTTGTTGTTGTTATTGTTGTTTTGAAAAGGGTCTCGCTAAATTGTTGAGGGGCTCACTTAGTCACCCAGGCTGGCCTGGACCTTGGGATCCTCCTGCTTCAGCCTTGGGAGTCGCTGAGATTACAGGCACCAGGGGCTTTTCTAATTATATGGTTTAGCCCCGTTATCCGGATGAATGTTTTCCGAAACGGCAAAATACCTTAACTTTGCCTTCCCTTTTCAATTTTGGGATGTGAATGGTGATTTTACTAAAGGAAAAGTATGCGGTCACGGGGAACTGGCCAGTAATTTCACTAGAAGAGTCAGTGGGGGTAGTGTGCACTTCCTGAGTCTCTAGGGCCCTAACTCCTCTTCGGAGTTAGATTCAAGAGCGATGTAATGGGCAAATCGGCCTCGCCGGACATTTCGGTGAGGGTTTGGTGCTAAAGTATCGGGTAAGTCGACGTGCCACGTGGACCCGGATTCTGTCTTTGCAGCCCCGAGCAGTGGAGGCCGTCGCCATCCTGCCGTGCCGCTGAGGGGGGGTAGCAGGACCCGAGGCACAGACGGGCGCCCTGCCCTTTCCCACGCCGGGAGGTAGCCCCCGAGCGCTCCGGGGCGGGCAGGCTCGCGGCAGGCTCCTCAGGCCGGGTGCGCCATGGCAGCAGCGATGGGTCCCATTGGGGGCGACGCTGCCCCGGCCTATTTGTGTTTGGGGGGGACCGCTGCCGCCACACTGAGGCGAAACCAGAAGGAGTCCGGAGCTGCGCGACCCAGGAAGCTCCGCCGAAGTAAGAAAGGCGCTCCGCCAGCGGAGGGAGTCGGTCTCTAAGCCCTCCGGAAGGAGGAGGAGCCGGCGCCGGAGCCGCCTTAGCCGCGGCCCCCGGGCTGGGGGGGGAGGGAGAGGGGTTGAGTCAAGATGGCGGCCAAGGTGGCGAAGCAGCAGCGGCGGCGGCGGCAGCGGCTGGAGTGAGTGTCTGGCTCGCCGCGCCGAGCGAGGTCCCGGCGTAGGGCCGCGCGCCGGGGCCGCGTCCTGCTCCTGAGGCCGGGGGACGCGCCGGCTCCCACGCTCTGCCAGCTCCCGGTGAGTAGGCCCCGGCGCCCGCAGCGCCGGCCTCCGGGCCCCTTCTCGCCCCGGGGCTTCCGAGGACTCTCAGGGCACCGGCCGTGGGGGCAGCTTTTCGGCCCGGGGAGGGGCGTCGCGGGCCCCGCTAGGTCGGGACCCGTCCCAGCTGCCGGCCCCTTCTCTTTGGCCGCCCAGGGTCGAGTCGGGCGAGGCGGAGGGCTCGGGCTAGGCGAGTGGAGGCTTCTGGAGTTTGGAAGAAGAATGGGCTGCGGCCGGGCCAGGGCCGACCCCGACGTGTCCTGTGGGGAAGGGGCGAGCGGAGCCTGCAGGGTTGGCGGAGGGGGGACGCGATGGCCAAGGGTCCCCGGGTGGGGCCGGCGCAGGTGGCGGGCCTGGGCTCACTCTTAGGCGGAGTTAGTGGCCGTCTTGGGAGTGTGGAAGGGTTAGGGAGGGTGACAGCGTTGGACGAGTACGTGAAGGAGCCGAGTAGTTCACCTTTCTAACCTGACCACTTCGGGCTGTAATGGCGAAGGGTGGGTAGTGGTGGAGCTGGCAAAGATCCGAACCCTATACCTTCCGCCGTTTATTGTTGGTGTTTTCGTGTGCCAGATGAAGGATTTGGAAAACTAGAATGGAGAAATCAGCTTTAATGGAGAGGTGATTGAATTCTTCGAATTACCTAGACCAGGAGTAGTCGTCGATTAAAGAAATAGATGGGAATAAATGGTATTTATGAGAAGTATTTGCCTAGGAAATGTCAGGAGTTTCATTGCTACGGTGCCTCTTCAACAGAATTTACCTTGGAGAGTAGGGGTATGGGGCATTCTAATCTTTGGGATTAGTATATTCACCTGCATCGGGTTTGCTTTCTTAATTATGTCCTAATTATATTGAAATTTACAATTCTTGCGTACCCCCTCGTGAGGCAGTGATGGGAAGCTGGCTGAACGTGACTGTGTGCAGAGAGCAACAGGTCTGGGATTTTAAAATGCCTATACATATTCCTTCCTTCCTTTAGTATATTCTGATCAATAACTGCGATGATTCTGGGTCACTGAAAATGGCATGACGGTATTTAAGTTTTGGTAATTTCATGGAAATATTTTGATATTTACTTTCATAAAGATAACTTACTGGATAAACCAGCACTTGCCTAGACTCAGGATCAGACCTATTTTAGAATCTTATTTATACGTAGGTAAAAATTACAGAAGAATTAACCACAAATTGCTAGAGAGAAATTGAATTTTTTCATTCTATTAAAATCCACTGGAAGTTTACTTTCATATTTATAGTTTCCAGTTGCTTGTCTTGCCTTAAGCCCAGCGGTTAATGAAAATCAAGGTGTGTATGTATATGTATTTACATGTAAAATAGTCGCACTAGGAAATGATTAGTTAAATACCAAAATACTCTTTCCTTTTAAAAAGATATGCCATATATTGAACTACTCCCTCGGAGAAAATGTAATACTAATTTCTGATTCTTCTTGTAACTGACGTTTTGGAATATATCAACTTCTCTGTGCTTCAGTTTCCTTATCTCTAATATTAGGAAACCATTTATCTATCTATGGGCGGCTGTTATGCGCCTAAAGGGAGTTAACAGTTATGAAATTGCTTTAAACAGATTGAAAGGGTTGTGTTTCTGTGAGGTAGTAACAACTCCCTCTGAGATCCTGTATTGCTTTATCTGCTTATCTCTCTCAGTGCTTACACTTTCTACCTTGTACTGTTGGTATTTATGTTCTGGTTTATCTCTTTTTGAGAGCAGGATAGGCCCTTCTCTGATTTTATCTCTGGTTAAGCACCTAGTAAGGGGGAGGGAGGGAGAGAGAGAGAGAGATTTTGACACTGCAAATTAAAAAAAAAATTTAAATTTATATATGACAGTGGAATGCATTACAATTCTTATTACACACTATTTTAGAGCACAGTTTTTCATATCTCTGATTGTATACATAGTATATTCACACCAGACACTACAAATTTTTTATTGAATGAATAAACATAGGAATCTAGTTAGAAAAATGTATTCACATTACAACTTATCAGAATACACCTGTTATCTGCTGTGACGTATCTATGGAAGCTATAATTCTCTCCATGGCCTCTAGAGAAATATATATTTTAACTTGATGCTTTTGTGGATTTAAAAAAATTTAGTAAAACTTAAGTGTTTGGACTGTCCTCTTAGTTTAAAATAAAAACTATGAAACTATGACAATTAGTCTGGGGCTGGCCTGGAACTTGCTGTCCTCTAACTTCAGTCTCCCAAGTTCCTGGGTTTACTAGTATGTGCCATTACTCTGGCTTGTTGGTTTTTTATATGTTTTTGTTACTTAGTTTTAATTATATTTTGTGATCTATCTTCGTTGTAATTTCAAATTCTTATTTGTGCCTGGATATGATAAAACTCTTTAGTTACTTCCATCTGTTCTTACTTATTTATTTTGAGATGGGATTTCAATGTGTGGCCTTCTATTCCTGAGATTAAGCCTTGGCCTCCCCAGTAGTTGGGACTGTGGGACTATGTTATAGCACCAGGCTCCATCTTTTCTTTTACTTCACATATTGAATTTTATTAGACTATGGTACAAAGCAAGTAGTAAAGTTTGATCTGAATTTATTATATACAGATTTGTAGGTAAGAGGCTCATGTGTTTTCAGTCATTCATTTGTACAATCAATGTGATGTTCCTTTTATGTTTTGGGTGGATTACTAAATGCTATAAAGGCATAAGGCATAGTTGAATAGGTCAGTTATATCCACAAATAACTCAGTCTTCGGATTGTCTGATAACTTTGTCCTTTTCAGGTTGGAGGATATGAAAAACTATCTATTTATTTAGTTTTGTTACCAGGGATTGAACCCAGGGACATTTATCCACTGAGCCACATCCCCAGCCCTTTTTTATATTTTATTTGGAGACAGGGCCTCTCTGAGTTGCTTAAGGCTTCACTAAGCTGCTGAGGCTGGCTTTGAACTCGAGATTATCCTACCTCAGCCTTCCAAGCAGTTGGGATTACAGACATGAGCCACTGCATCCAGCATGAAAGGTAATTTTGATGGTTAAGAAAGCATTTTCTTTTTTTTTTTTTTTGTGATGGTGCTGGAGATTGAACCCAGGGCCTTGTGTGTGTAAGGCAAGCACTCTACCAACTGAGCTATATGCCCAGCACTAAGAAAGGGTTTTCTATCAGGACTTCTTGAGAGTAT